TGACGCAAAGGCGAACTTAACCAGTAATGCCGACCTCTCAAAACTCGAGCTACCAGAGAACCAGGATATTGAACCAATCTCCACAACTGCTTAGCCAACAACGCCAGGTTAAACTCATGAATCATTCTGAAGCCAATCCCTCCCTTCCTCTTTGGATACGCATAACTTGTCTCATGTTGACCAGTGTATACCTTTTTTTGGTGGGTTCGAAATCCACCAGAACTGTGCAATGGCACTAGGTAAGGCATTACATATCTCCAGCGGAAGTAGAAAACATGACATTACATAGGTTGGAAGGACTAGCAGGATTGACTTTATCATTACCTCCTTTCCACCTTTTGATAACCACATGTCCGTCCATCCATTTACTCTATTCCTTAGCTTGTTCTTTAGGAAGGCAAAAAGCTTGCATTTGGATCCACTGATATCCTCTGGAATCCCTAAGTAATATCCCATTCCTCCTTCGTTTTGGATTCCAAGTGTATCTTTAATCTCTTGCCTAACCTCCTGTCTGATTCTCTTACCGAAAAGTAGAGATGATTTGTCAAAAGTAATACATTGTCCTGAAGCTTGTCCATATTTCCTGACCACTTTCATTACTTCTTCACATTCACGGGACTACGCCTTACAAAAGAACAGACTATCATCAGATAAGAGTAGGTGAGATACCAAAGGACACACACGTGTGATGCGCATCCTCGTTATCTTCCTTTGATTCTCTGCGTGATTTAAAAGGCTAACTAGCGCTTTTGTGCATAGAATAAAAATGAAAGGGGTCAGAGGATCCCCCTGTCTTAGACCTCTCTCCAGAAAAATATTTCCTCTTGGTTGGTCATTCTTAAGAACCTTATATTTTACTGATGTTACACATCGCATTATCCAGGTTATCCAGATATCCGAAAAACTCATCTTCCTCATGGTAGCCTCAATGAAGGACCATTCCATTCGATCATACGCTTTGCTCATGTATGTTTTAATGGCAATCCTCTTGTTACGTCCACTCGGTTTGGTCTTTAGAGCGTGGAACATCTCTTGAGCAATCATAATATTGTCAGAAATATGTCTCCCATCAACAAAGGCATACTGGATTTCTGAAATCTGGTCGGGTAGAACCTTTTTCAGCCTCTGGTATAGGACCTTAGAGATTATCTTGTAGCTAACGTATCATAAACTAATGGGCCGTAGCTGAGTCATCTGATTCGGCTTGTCTACTTTCGGAATGAGACAAATATTGGTGTCATTTAGACCAGTAAGGATCGTTCCTTCAAACAGGAAATGATTAACCATAAGAGTTAAATCATCCTTTACAATATCCCAAAATTTCTGGTAGAAAAGGCCGTCATTCCGTCTAGCCCTGGGGCTTTCTCTGGATACATTGCAAAAAGAGCCAATTTGACCTCCCATTCAGTGATCGGAGCTGTGAGATTCACATTATCTGATGTAGTAATGGTTGTAGACCCCTCAGCTAGAGCTTTCTCTATGTCCTCAGGGTTTGATGATTGAAATATGTGCCTGAAATAACTTGTAGCAATGGCTACAAGTCCTTCCTCATCCTCTACAATATTTCCATCTTCATCTAGTAATTGTGTAATCATGTTCCTTGCTCTTCTCTGCTTCGTTAGGGTGTGGAAAAACATCGTATTTCTATCCCCCTCCCTTAGCCAGAAAACCCTGCATTTCTGCTTCCAAAATACCTCTTCCGCCTTAAAAGCGTCTGATAGTTCCTTTAAAGCTGCTGCAATCTCCTATGTGGTTACATCGTCATTGGAAGATAACTGATCCACTTTTTCTTTCAACTCCTCCACACTCTTCTCTAAATTCAGATTATGTTGTCTCTTCCAGTCAGATAAGGCTCACCGGCAACTTGCAATATGTACCATGATGGTTGCATCTGGTGGTAGATCAGGTGATTTCCAACCCTCTAGTATGACTTGTCTTAGATCCTCATTGTCTAGCCATCTCTTATCAAATTTGGAATTTTTTGATCTTCTCGGTTTCTTTTTAAGAATGTCAGCCAGGACCGGACGATGATCTGATCCCCGTAATCTCATATACTGCACTTTTGAATGAGGGAACTGCTCATGCCAGTCCTCATTCCCAACAGCTCTGTCGAGGCGACATCTAACCATATTCCTCTCTGCTCTGTTTCCTACCCAGGAAAGCATATTTCATGTAAAGGGAAACTCCAGCATACCACAATCACTCAGCATTTGCTTGAAGGGTAAGAAAGAGTTATCTGAACGTTGTCTACCTCATTCCTTCTCCTCGTGACAGGTAATTTCATTAAAATCACCTATCATAAACCAAGGTCCATTTCTTGTTGTTGAGAAACGCATAAGACGTTCCAAGACTAAATCTCTCAGCTCTAGTACAAGATACCCATAAACAAATGTCATATAGACTTTTATTCCATCAATGACTGCCTCAATTTTTTTAAACATTGACAAGTATTTAGCAGTACTGAACTACGGTGTTAATTTTAATTGATTTGGTTTTGTAGTTAACAAAATCTATATAATAACACGAGATTTTTTTCTCTCTTAACATGCCACATCAGCATCTTTATGGATCCTGCAAAAAGAAAACTAATAAAAAGTATAGATTAAGAATCTAATTTGTGTTATTTATTTTCCAAACAAAGTCTTTACCATCAGACTATTATGAATATTTGATATATTTTACAAAGAGTAAACTATAATACCTATATTATTTTATAAATAAAGTAAAATATTTAAAAATAGTTTCCGTTTAATCTCCACATAATCTCAAATTGATCATCAATTTGCTAAGTCTTCGTCATCCTAACACCTACCATCATTCTGAACATGGCTTCAAACTAATTTAAGCATATAATGATTGTTTATGCTTTTATGAAGCAGTTTCTCTTCATCATCCTAACGCCTAGCATCATTCTGAACATTGTGGTTGCTTGCCGCCTCTGTTTCTGAGATTTCCAGAATATTAAAAATGGTGAATTTATGGGAATTTGAGAAGATTAGAAAGATTGGGAAGAACATTGACATTTAACAAGATTGCTTAATAGACCCATTTTTACTTCGTTAATTAATAATGGATCACATTCATAACATCTCTCGCAATACAAATGCGATGAATATATACTCTTATATATACTCGCATTACGATGAATATATACTCTATCAAGTACTAAAAATTCACAACTCATCTCGATTTTCGGCTAACTGAAAATCTATTAATTAAATGTGATGAATCTGATGATGTAACATAGGGCAACATGTGAACATGTCAAGTTATATACACACTTTTTACAACAACAAAAAAAGTTATATACACACAACTAAATAAGCCACTAATATAAACTATTCTTTGATAATATCTCCAACAAGAATGGACATAGTATTTGATAAACATATACAGCTACACAAAACAGATACATCCTTATTTTCTATATTTTCCAGTTTCCCATAACTCAAAATCAACATTCTTTATGTTTCATTATAAATGTCATTTTAACTTTGTGCACACAGATTAATAAAACAATTAATTTTATATATTTTCTATACAAAACACAATTACCTATACACCTAACTATATTTTAACCAATAGAAAAATAAATTTAATAATTTTGCATTGAAAACCGAAAACAACACTTATTTTATAACGGAAATATTTTCTATTCTGACATTTAATATGAAATGGAGGGAGTAATATTTTTTAAAAAGTATTTTTTGTTTACGATTCATTATTATTAACTAATACAGTAAAAAGAGTTTAAAAATAAAAATAAAAAACTGCGTTGAAACTTAATGTGAATCCCTTTTAGAAAAAAACTTTTATTTTAAACATTTATGTATTTGGAACAAAAATATAATTTTCAGATTTTTAATATTAAAAATAGAAATGTAAATATATTTTAATGCTTTAATCAAATTAAAACTGTAAAAATATTTAATTTTTAAGATTTATTTCAATCATATAATTTGTTTTTTTTAAAGAGAAGGTACTTATATTTTAATGATTTAATCAAATTAAAATTGTACATCTTTCAATTTTTATTAATTAATTCATATTTCTCAAATTTAAATTTATACTTTTATACAGTATATAGTTTAATTTAAGAGATATTAAATATATATACTTAATATGAAAATCTGTTAAGTAGGACTTCCACATTTATATCTTGTCATTTTAAAAATAAAAAAATACAAAAATGAAAATTTATATTCTATGGTTAATGTGGTTGTTTAATTTATTTTATTGATTTAAAATTTAAAAATAGAAAATACACAAATTGTTATCAGATTTTGATTATTTAAATCATTAATTTTTAAATATGAATTAATCACATTAGATCATTCCATAGATTTTTTTTTAAAAGAAAGAATAATATTTTTGTAAATTATTAATTAAATTTATAGTTCGTTCAGTGAGAAATATAATATACGTACAAATGAACCAATTTATTTTTCTTAGGTTTTAAAAATCATTTTAGTAATCATACATGACATAACTCACATATTATAATATTTTCAGTTAATATATATAAGGGATTATTGAGATGAATGTATTCATAGAAAATGTTTTCTATAGATCCACTTAATTGAAAAACCAACAAAATCTGAGGAATCCAGGCTATACGCGTAAGGCGAATGAAAGAAGGAAAGAAAACCCCAAATAATTCACCAGAAGAGAAGTTCAATGATTAAGTATCAATTATAGACCATTGTTTTTTATCTATTGAGTTGTAACTTATAGGATGGTTTTATCAAAAACTTCTGAAATGATTAATTTTCTCCTCTGTATGCCCCACTAAGAAATCATATGTTAAACAAAATAGTCCCTTGATTGGTTTTACATGTAATGTTCAGTGTGCGTGAGAAGCAGGTGATTAAAAAAAGAGCGAAAAAACAGAAAAATATTGTTATTTTTCTATCTCTCTCTTTCTGACTACTTGAAAGTGAAAAAATGGTCGCCTATATAAACACACAACGAAGTCTCTTGTCTTCTTCACTACTCACACTTTCATCAAAAAGAAAAAGAGAAAGTAAGAAGATTCAACACAAAAGATGATCTCAGTGGTGATTATAACTGAGCTACTAGTAGAGTACACGACGGCTCTCGCCAAACTCACCACCGGGATTCTCCCACGGCGCACCGGAGATAGAAACGCCTTACGGATCGGCGGTTTCCTCCTTCCAGCACCTTCTTCAGCCGCGTCTAGGATTCCTGATTTCTCTGCTCATCTCGTCGATTTCTGATTTCTTTTAACACTTTTTTTTGGATTTTCAGTTCTTGACTTTAGAATCTGTCTCTCTCTTTTCTCTCTGATCCTGTCGATGAGAGGCGGCTGAGATTTTTACCGAGTGTCTCATCGTCTCTCTCTCTCTTTTTGCCTCTCCTAGTCATGAGTCGAATAGAGCCTTTGTTAGTAGATACATATCTAATTAATATATAGAGATGATTAATGGTTTTGTTACTAGTAAGTTTGTGATTATGAAGCAGATCTTGACGTCCATTTTTATTTTATGTAATAACTTTCACAAGTGAGACTGATCGAAATATCTATTACATTTTGCTGATGGAACAAATGATGCGTTTAGGTATTTAGTTTTAACATTAGTATTCGATTAGCTTCGATATTATATTAGGTCATTGCTCACATCAGGAATGAGGAGGAGAAAAAAAAAACATTTGCTCAGTAAATTGTTGAGATATAGTCTGATCTTTCTACTTATTAAAACATATCCGTAGTATGAATTGAAATATCCAAGTTGAAAAAGTGTATTGATCTGAAAACTCCGAACTTTTTTTTTTTCCGAACTTGTTCAACGACTTAATTTAATATTGAGCAGTATGTAATATACGCCAACTTTTATCAACCTTCTGAGATAAGTGTTACTATAATATTAGTATCTACACATGCTCCAAAGCTAGAATAAAATGATAAAACTTTGAGAAACCAGGTTCACTGAATCAAATGTTGCAATGGAGAATCGAATGAACAAAAACGGTTCACTGATAAAACGTTTATATGAATCGTAACTTACCCATGCAAATCTCGTTGCAGATCTACACTTACTACATCGCGTTCGCGTATTATACCGAGCAAAGTCCATCTCGTACAAATGCAAGATTTTTGCTTCTCTTTTGTTAACAGCTAAACCACTTATATAATTGAGATCTAAGACGAAAAATTATAGTTCGAGTACATATATATGCTAGTTTATTATAACATAGGAGTGATTATTGGTGGTGTAATTCTTACTCAGTATATATATATATATTAGTTTCTGAATAATAAGTCTAGCTATCAGTTGCTCCATTAGACAAACTTGAAATGTCAGGATCCGGGAGGTCTCATTTGGTTTTGACACCAACGAAACATGGCCTAATTAGCAGAAACCTTATGATTTGAAATATACAATGTTTCGTTGGTGTCAAAACCAAATGAGACCTCCTGGATCCTGACATTTCAAGTTTGTCTAATATGAAGCAGCTGATAGCTAGACTTATTATCCAGAAACTAATGTGTGATGGAAACCAATATATGCGTACGTTTCTTGCGTCGGGTACACATATAACAAAGAACTTTAGTCTTAACAAACAAATATACTATAGATTACTAGTATTATTGGTTGTAGACCCTTCAATTTCTAAACAACTATATATTATTAGTTGTTGTATGTTTTTTTGTGGGACTTTGAAAGAAAAAAGTGCACTGTTTCTTAGCTACTTGATGCTAGACAACTAATTCATTCACGTCTACTACCACCATATGATAACTGATTAAAATATTGATTATGTTTTTTTCCAAGCCTTGGTATATAACACACATATAGATAATTATATATATATATATATATATATATTACTTGAATAGTAAAGTTGCTTAATTGTCAACTTCTCCATGATTTTAGGTAATTTTGTTTATTTTTCATGTTTTAATAATTTTATATATAATTTATTAAATAGCAAAAAGGAATTATATTAATAATATTATTTTCTTAAAAATAATTTAATTCTTACGTATTAGAGTGTTATCTTGAAAATATATTGTTATTATAAAATTTAAAGTAATTTCCTGATTGATTTGTAACTTCTCTGAGATTTAGGTAATTGCTTATTTGTCTTGTTTTTAATAACTTCATATATAATTTATTATAATAAACGAATTTATATTAATAATACTATATTTTTAGAAAATAAAATAATTCTTATGTATTATACTATTATTTTGAAATATATTTTTAGTCATATAAATTAAAAATTAAGATATAAACATGATAATTAAATATAAATCAAGCATTGATGATTTGTCAATTTCTCCATGATTTTAGTTAAATTTTTTTTTTTTATTATTTCAATAATTTCATCTATAATTACAATATAGTAAAAGTGAATTTAAATCAATAATATTATAGTTCTAGAAAACAAAATATAACTCTTATGTATTATATTGTTATCGTCTTAATATATTTTCAATTATATAAATAAAAATTAAGATATAAAAATTATAATTAAATATAAATCAAGCAATGTTTATTTTTCAATTTTTCATGATTTTAGGTAATTTTACTTATTTATCATGCTTTAATTATTTTATACATAATAATAAAAGAAAATTTATATTAATAATATTATATTTTTAGAAAATAAAATAATGCTTATATATTAGATTTTTACGTTGAAATATATTTTCTATTGTAAATTTTAAGTGAATTTACTGGTCTGTAACTTCTCCGTGATTTAAGAAATTTAACTTATTTGTCATGTTTTTAATAGTTTTATATATAATTTCTTATATAATAAAAAAATATATTAATAATAGATTATTATATTTTTAGAAAACTAGATACTTCTCATGTATTATATTGTTATCTAATATATTTTTCTATCATATATGCACAAAATTAAGATATAAAAATTATAATTAGATATAAATCAAGCAAAATATTTGTGTAAATATATTTTTATAAATATTCTACTATGTGAATTTTTAATTTTTAATTAATTCTAAAAATATAAACCATAACATATTATGTTGTTTTGAATTAATAAAACATAAACTAATAAGTAGTCATAAGAAAATTATGCTCGTATGTGCTGGCAGTATAATTAGTATATATATATATATATATATATATACAAAATTACGTATAAATATGTTTTTATTCCCTTAAATTCAGAAAGATACATGTTGAGAAAACATGTTATTTCTAAAAGATACATGTTTTCATTTTCTAAATATTTTATTAAATGTTAGTAGTAAATTTTAAGTTTTAAAAATAACAATTCCATTTATTAAATTTATTCTGATTTTAAATTATAAATAATAAATAATAATTGATAATTTTAAAATTAATATATTTTATTAATGTATGGAAATTCCAAAATATATATCTTTTTAAATATATCTTATAAAAAGAGAGAGTAAGCGATAATAAAGAGAAGAACAAAGTTTGTTAGATATATAATAGGGGAAAATATGTTTATTAAATGCACAAAGTGCATGACGTTTAAGAGATAAACTAGAATTTGATATTCACGTCAGTGTAGATATTTTTTATTTTATAAATATTTAAAATTTATATTTTCATAAAGTTTTTTAAATATCTGATTTAAATTTAGTATTATATATTTTATAACACTATAATCTTATTATTTAAGCTTGTTTTTCATCATTATTAATATATAGTGATTTATTATACATTTTCTATTCTTATTGATTGTTATTTTTAATTAATATAATTTTTAGTTTGAAACATAAATTATAACTGAAATAATCAAATATATAATCTACTTTAATATAGGTTTTTAATTTCTGCAATTGGCATACAATATAATTTAAAATTATTTAGTTATACTGTAGACATATACTTATTTATGATAATTTATATTTTCATGTTGTGTTTAAAAAATAGTACTTTAACATCTATCTCTTTAATATTTTGCGAGATTTTATAAGTAAATACCTTTTTCTGCTTAAATAATATATCTATATTATTTAAGTAAATTTTGTAACAATATATGATATTTTTTGGATGTTATGGTATTAAGTTTTCTGATTCATTTATTATTATTAAATTAAAATTTAAAAATATTATATTACTTTTGATTTTTACAACATAATTGTTGTTTGTCATTCAAATTATTATATTGTTAGCCTCTATGATTTTATCTTTTATAAAATTTGGAATACTATCATTCACAGTTTTAAATATTATATAATCATTCTGAGTTTTTAATATTTAGTTTTTGAAATTGTATACTTGGTCAAGAGAACTTTTGATTATATGATTTTTGACTCTTTGGCTACTAAGTTAATTTAATGTATTATAAATATATTCCTAATTTTACTAAAATTTTTTATATTTTTCTCAAAAAAAAATTTTATAATTAAAATATATCTAGTTTTATAAGTAAGCTGGTTTGTCATTACTATTTTTAGTTAATGATTAGAAATTCTATTTTTTAATAACATGTTTTGTAAAATAATATATGAACTAAAAGTTAGTTATATACTATTATATTTCGAGTATAATTATTTATAGATAATATATTGATGTGAGTTTTAAAACAAATAAAATGATAATTTATAGTTGTAGAGGTGTAACATATGTTAAATAATTTTAATTTTGTATAAAATATTACATAGTTTACGAATTTTAACCCGTTTTTGCAATGAAGGATAATTTATTTAAATGAAAAAAAATTAAAATCAAATATGTTAATCTATCAATTGAATATAATTTTGTCATATTTAATTTATAAATCACGCCTATTTTAATATAATATAGCTTAGAATTTTTATTTTCTAATAAATTGTATAGTATATATTAACATAATATATAATTATTCTACACAGAAAAAAAATAATTTTACATCCATAAAATAAGAGAAATTAAATTTAAAGAGTAATGAAAGAGACATCTTATACGATAAAATAGGCTTTTCTCCCTTCTTAGAGTGTACACATCAGCATTTAAGAGGGGGCAAAAAATGACACCTCAGCAATTAACCAGACCAAACCATCCATAAATGTAATTGGTTACCCAACCGATTTTTATTTCGGTTTTCTTAATCTACTTTCTTGGGCTGGACAAGTTTTGATAATTATTGAAAGGCCCAAATTATTTTTAGGTCAATCGTTCATCTTCTTTCCATCCCCCTTTGAGCTGCCGCCTGAGGTAAACTGACGCAGAAGAACGATCTCCACACCATAACGATGAACAACATTCTATTTACCAAATCTGAAAGCACGATCCATGCTACTCATCAACTCAACAATGGCGCAATCCTCCATCCTCCTTGTCGAGTTGAAAGCACCAACATTGCAAAGGTTCGTTTGTGAGGTTTTGGGAAGCCAGGAATGTGAAGAAAGGCTGTGAGCTTATGAGCCTTAACATGCTACTCATTGATGAGAATGTAAGTACCTTTGTTTCTGATTAATCATATCGACGATAGCATCCATTTAGATTGTATAATCTTTTTACTCAGGAGTATACAAGCTATTTAGATCTCCAGCATAAATCCAAAGATAGTTGGGGGAAGAGCATATAT